TGCAGCTGACAGTTGTAGAAAAAGGTTTTTCCACAGCAGTCGCACATGAAGGGCTTCTCCACACCGTGAACCAGCATGTGGGTTTTCAGAGCCCAGGTTCCTGAAAAACCTTCACCACACTGATGACACCTGGTGGAGAGCAGAGGGAAGCACAGGATGAATTTGCATGTTCCATGATGCCCTTAGATATTGTGTTAATAAAGTTAGCAAAAGCACAAAGTAAAGAATTATTAGAAGAGCTCATTTCAGTCTAGAGGTGCTCAATATTTCAAAGATAGCAAAAATGCTGCACGAAAGTTAGCTCAGTGTTCCCTCCGCTGCCTACAATAGTCTCGGTGTGCATGGGGTCTGAATCTAGATGGAAATGTTTCGGGTTTGCCTACCTGTGGGGTTTCTCTCCGTTGTGGAGGTGCAGGTGTCGCTGCAGGTTGTACTTGAGGCCGAAGCTCAGTCCACAGGTATGGCAGGTGAAGGGTTTCTCTCCGGAGTGGACGACCCGGTGCTGCATCAGCCCCATCCTGCATTTAAAAGCTTTGTCGCATTCGCTGCACTTGTACGGTCGCTCGTCAGAGTGTGACCTCTTGTGGACGCGCAGGTTGCCGCTGGTGGAGAACCTCTTGCCGCAGGTCTGGCAGGGGTACGGCCGCGCCCCTGTGTGGACCCTCTGGTGCTCCTGCAGGCTCTTCTTCCTGGTGAAGCTTTTCCCACAGACGTCACACATGAACGGTTTCACCTTAGCATGTGACACCTCATGGGACCGCAGCGCGGCGGCAGAGGTGAAGGTGCGGTCGCAGGCATGGCACTCCAGCGGCGTCTTCTCCAGCCGATGCGACGCTTGGTGGACCCGCAGCTGTCGCAGGAGGCGGAACTTCCTGCTGCACTGATCGCATTGCAGCAGCTTGTCTGGGTCGCGCTCCTGCGCCTCGCGCAGCTGGTGGCTCTGCTGGTGCTTGAGCAGCATGTGTGCCTTGTAGAAGCCTTTGTCGCAGGCGTCGCAGGGGAAGGGCTTGCGGTGGCTGGCCATGTGTTTGGTCAGCTGGTGGTTCTGGTGGAAGCCTTTGTTGCAGAGTTCGCAGAAGAAGCGCTTCTCCTTGTAGAGCTCCCGCCGCCGGCAGCGCTCCTGCTCCTTCTGCTGCTCCGCACTCGCAGCTGCACACACACACACGCACACACACACGGGTTCTGGGACCAGTTCTAAGAGAGGTATCAGCTCCTGGATCAAAACGCTCCAGAATACTGACAGAACCGGGCCCGGGTCAGCGGGTTCAATCACAAAAAATAACATTAAATTTATCACAGTGCCTTAGGAAAAAGCTCAGTAAACGGACCACCCAGAACCGCCTGACAGGAAACCCGGTTTGGTCCAGTTTAAGTCCAGGTTCCATCTATTCTGACCCAGTTCTGTCCATTCTGACTGCAGCGGTTTGAATGTTTCATTCAGCATAAATCAGAATTTTACCTGTTGGACTCTGGAGGCCCGTCAGACCCTCAGATCCAGACTCTGGTTCTTCTGTAGTTTCTGATCCCTGAAGACACCAGCACAGAGTTGAACACCCTGACCAGCTGTGGTAGAACTGAATGTTCTGATTCTCCAGGGCACTCCTGAACTCACCATGGTTCCCTCTCCCTCGGGTTGGACCTGGTCGCCTCCTGGAAGCCCATTGGCCAGTCCGTCTTTGGTCTCAGGTTCTGTGGAGATCTGGGTCGTCTCTAAAACCACCTCAGCCTCAACCTGCGGTGAGCCTGGAGCAACCAGATCCGTTTTCTCCTGCAGCACTTCAACGCAGCAGCTGTTCTGTCTCCCAATTGGCTGTTGGGCAGAAAGGTGGGTGAAGATCTCCGGAACCGGGTCGCTGCAGGTGGGCCGAACCGAGACCACCTGCAGTTCAGCCACCCTGACTGAAGGGTCCAAAACTACAGAGAGACAGTGAAGGCATCACAAAACTATAACATTCAAAATAAACGACTTCCTGTTCAGAAGGTTCTCACTCGTAGAGCAGAGTTACAGTTTCCTTCTTAAAGCTACAGTACGTCACTTTTATAAAAAATTGTTTTTTTCTATACATTTGTTAAAACTATCACCACGATGTGACAGATATGAGACAGATAATCTGTGACAAGATCGAGCTGAAGAAATGCACCGTTCCCAACCAAAACCAACCAATCAGAGTCAGGAGGCGGGTCTTACAGCTGTCAATCAACCTCGTGAACAAGCTGCTGAATGTGCCAATGGCAGAGAACAAGTAACCACTGCCAGTCATGCCAGTATAGTTTAGTAGAGAGCAGGCGGGCACCAGGGCCCACATGAGCATGATTGACAGCACTAAGACCCGCCTCCTGGCTCTGATTGGTTGTTTCTAGTTAGCACTGAAAGAAGGCAGAGGAGCTCCATTTTCCTCAAAGATTATCTGTTTCATACTATTTTGTCACAAAATAGTGACAGCTTAAATGAATATCTAGAAAAATATTTATGATAAAAGTTACATCACCGCCAGGGGAAGGTCTAACGCTGTCAATTAACCTCAAGTGCTCCCTGCTAAAAGTGCTAATGGCAAAGAAACAACTTACTGCAACAGGAAAACTGTCAACAGTGGCTGTGCTAACCAGCATTAGCATTCACAACAGGCTATCCTAACAGGAGGCGCTGAAGCTTAGCCTAGCAAGATCGGGTGGAGGGAAGATGTGTGTACATGGGCTTGATTGACAGCACTAAGACCCGCCTCCTGGCTCTGACTGGTTGTTTCTTGTTAGCATTGGGAGAAGGCAGAGAGAAACTTGATTTTTTCACAGACTATCTGTTTCATACCAAACTGTCACGACAAAGTGACAGCTTCAACAAACATGTAAAAAATATTTTTTATAAAAGTCATACTGCATCCTTAAATCCTCACCTAACGACCGAACTTTGGGAGCCTTGTGGTTCTTCACTGCAGTGGAAGGTTTTGGTTTCTGTGGTTCTTCCCCCTCCAGTCGCCTCACTTTGTCCTTCAGAGCTTCGTTCTCCGTCAAAACAGTCAGGTAGAGTTCTCTAAAGATGCTGCGGATCTTACGGACTGCCTCTCTGGACATCAGAACCAGAACACTGCTCAGCTGCAGGACGAAGGAGAGTCAGAGGTTAAACCTGGGCAAAGAGCAGAGAGACCAGAACCAGAACCTTCTGGTCTGATCAGGATCCAAATTCCACCAGAACTTTTGATAATTTTTCTGATTTAAAACTAATAATAATAATAATATTAATAATTATGCAGATAGTTGTGTTTCTGTGTCTCCATGGCTGATTCTACAGGAAGGAACTGAACTTTTGGGCCCAATAAAGTTCTGTTACCATCAAAGCTGCAGTATGTAACTGTCAATAATGCTAGTTAGCATGGCCACCGATGACAATGTATAGATAGTTTTTCTTTAGATAAGTTGTTTCTCCAACATTAGCACATTTAAAAACTTGTTCATAAGCTTGATTGACAGCGCTAAGACCCTCCTCTTGGCTCTGATTGGTTGTTTTGTCCGGGACAAAACAACCAATCTGGTGTTTTTTCCAGACAGCAATAGTGACTCCAGGAGGAGATCCACTTATTCACCAATTGTCTCATAAACGATCATAACATGGTTCAAACTGCTGATTCAAACCTGCAGAACGTTCTTTTCAGGAAACACTCTGCTGACAGAACCGAACCCGCACCTGATTCCGCTTCTCTTTTGGTTCCTGCTTCTCCAGCAGAACCTCCTCAGTTACTGGTTCCCGTTGTCCCAGTAGAACTTCCACAGCAGCCTCCAGCAGCAGCTGGAGAACCAGTTCTGTCTGACGGTCAAAAGTTTCCTCTACGGTTCTGAGATGCTTCATGGCGAACCGGAACCAAAACCTAGATTCTGTTCAGACAACAAACTGAAATAAAAAGGCTGTTCTGGTCCAACCTAAGCGAAATATATGCTTCCCATCAGTCCATCATGGCGACTCATCCTTTGTTGACATCGCGGGGAGTTCTTCTTCTTCGTTTCTTTCCGGTGGGCTGCAGGTTGGTGGAGGCGCGTTGCTTCCCTCTGGCGGCTGAAACCTGCTATGTCAGAAACAGGCCCAGAATGAAAACAAAGGAGTCATGTTCATCGAGGTATACATCTTCTTCAATCAAGCATAAATAAATGTAAAACCCAATAATTACGTAAATAAAAGAAAAAAGTGAAGAAAAAATTTATGAAATTCTAAAAAAAAAAATAAAAAATGAATATGCAAGTCGTAAAGCTGTACAGTTGCCTTGCAGCAAGAGGGTCCTGGGAAGGTGGGGAAACAGAGAATAGGTACGTTCATGGGTCCAATCTGGAAGCCACACACAAGCACTATTTTAAAATTAATAAGCCATCCGGTCACATTAAAAATACGTTTAATAAAGTTCTGTTTAGTAAAAATGGGGTGTGTAGATTAAGCTCAGCTCTGAGTGAAAAAAATCATATTATTTTAATATTAAATAATATCAGCAGACATCTTATCAGTTATCAGGATTTGTAGTTAATCTGAACTTTGAGAATAATGTCTGTCATAGATGTTGTTCATGTGATTCTTCTTATGGCCATTTTTAGAAACCAACCAGTCGAGCATTAAATCACAAACAAGAGAAGAGGCTGGACTCCGGATCAGAAAAATCAACTTTATTCATATTTCATCTTCGTTGATGAAAACATAATCAAATACATCAGTTTTTTTATTTCTCACAGTTTCAATAAAAATAAACAAGTGCAATAATCTCAGAGCAGGAAACTTCGGCGTCCATCAGACTCTCACAGTGCATGAAGAACAAGTCATGAATAATCTGAATCAGTTTCAGAGTCGGAGCCTCTGTTGGCGTTCACACAATGTTTAAATGCTTCCATCAACCAATCAGAGAGCTGCATCTCCAACCTTCCTCTCATTAGCTGATCTTTGGACCAATCAGAACTCAATCTGCTTCTCTTCAGCATTTCAGCTCAATTTTAATCATTTCTTAAAGAAACTGCATGAAACATTAATATAGGCTGATATAATATTCATTTCCTGTAAATAACTACAAATAAATCATGTTTGAGGAAACTTTTACAAACTCAGGAAGTGCACTTAGTTTAATGATGACAAACATTTTGTGCAAAAGGAGAAGTTTGTGAGCAGATAAATATTTAATATTTAATCCATGTGCATATTTCAACCTGAATCCAGCGCTTGTCTTCAGGTGGTTTCACATTGATCACAGAAAGAAGGAAGTTTTGTTTCTCCTGGTTCATCAGGACCAGCAGGCATCTACAGATCAACAGCCACCTGACCTCCAGGTCAAAGGTCAGGTGAAGATCCTGATAAACCTTTTGAGTGTGATTCACACTGTGGTGTGGAAATGGCTGTTATCCAACAGGATGAATCGTTTTTGGCTACATTTATGAAGCCAAACTGGATTTAATCTGTGTTCACACTGGGGTAAGGTTTGGATCAAACTGAACCTGGGTTAGTTAACTCAGGTTCTAGTTCAAACTCAGACTATCACTTTAGTTTGCTGCAGAGTTCTACTGCTGTCAAACTGGAGTCAAACTGGAGTCAAACTGGAGTCAAACTGGAGTAAAACTGGTGACAGTCTGGAGTTATACCAGAGCCAAGGGGACTAGACTGAAATTAGACTGGGAACCAGCAAGAGTTAAACTTGAGACTAAAACTACAATCTGAGTTTTAAATTGTAGTGAAACTGGAATCAAATCGGAAACAAGTTAGAAACAAACTGGAATCAAAAACTTGATTAAATAAATATACATAAATAAAATAATCATAAAGGAAGGAATTTAAAGTCAAAGTGGTTTGAAAAATTTATATTTAGCTTGAATCAAAACGGAATTTACAGTTGAGTCCAGTTGAGAATTTCCACTGAGACTCACTGGAGTCAAACTGGATTGAAAATTCACCACTTGCAAATGAGCACAAACCAACAACCAGCCTGCCAAAATATTCTCAGTTTTAAAATATTTTATAAAAACATGTTCACGTTCCGACTACACTCCACACACAGACGTCACCATCTTTTCTTTCAGAAATATAAAAACACATCGCAGTGATGCGCCGCGTCTTCTTTTCAGACATAGAGGAATTCATTTTTTCTGCTACACGACTTAAAAAGAAACAGCCATCTGAATATTTCACAGATAAAAAAATAAGAACTAGAAAGACGACAGGAATCTCTGCTACACCTGAACAGCCACGCCCCCTCCGCGCCGCTCTGCGCTCTGATTGGACAGCAGGACGCCTGTTTGAACCTTTGTCTTGAGGAGTTAAAACCTGGCTGAAAGGCTGTCCGTTTGGACGCACATTAATTTCTGTCGTTAATGTTCATTAACGAGGTTCAGATGAGGATGAAGTCAACTCAAACTGCGTCACGTGACAGGAAGTGGAAACATCAAAGCAGGCGAGTCTGCAGGTGTGAACGTCAAACTGAATCAAATGATTGTTCAAAGCAAAAAGAACGACTGGAAAGTTCAACTCATCAACCAATCAGCTGGCGGCAAATTCAACCGGCCAGCAGCTCTGGAGGAAGATGATGAGGAGGAGGATGAGACATCATCTTCATCCTATCATTACTATCGTCATGATCATCATTTTCATCATCATAATAATTATCTTCATCCCCATCACCACCCTCATGACCACCATCATCATCATTACCAATAATGATGATGAAGATCATTATAAATTACGATCTTCATCGCCATCATTGTCACCACTATGGTTACCATCATAATCACTATAATCATCTTCATCCTCGTCGGTTTCTCTCTGCCTCGGAGGAGAACGTTGTTCTGGACGTCCCTGTGGGTTGTTCTCAGATGGCGGTGTCCCAGAACACGGTGGTGGCGTGTCCGGTGGCGGTGGGCGGGGCTGAGTATGGCGGCGGCTGCTTCCTCCTCCAGCTGGGCAGGTTGGGCATGCTGTCCTGTTTGCACAGGTTCTTCTCCGGCCGCTGACGAGCTTTGATCTCTCGGCACAAAACTCTCTTCTTTTCGATCATCTCCATCATGGTGGCGTCGCCGCAGAGCCACGGCATCTGGTGATGAAGAACAGCCCGTCATCATCGCTCACACGCTGTGGTCCTGCCTGAACACTGAGCCTCACTGAGGGGGATTCTGGTCACATTCAACACTAACGGCAGCCTGTGGATGTGTCAACATTCAGACACCAACAGGGTTGGATTCATTTGTCTATTTATTAAAGCTCAGTGGTGGACACACTTCCGCTAATATGCTAATAGAGGAGCTAACTTTTTGGTAGCACTTTGACTAACTTGGAAAACGTTTCCCTAAATTACTTTTTCCAGAAAATTTGAAAGCGCTAAGCTAAAAATTTGCTCTGCTAACCAGCTAATTTTTAGCTTAGCACTTTTGCCAGCTGATTGCTAGGATTTGTTCAGGTAGTTCGATGTTTATATTCATGATCTTGTTTCTTAAGTGTGTGAAGACTGTTTAGGTTCTCCTTGAGTTCACAGATGCAGCAAACGATGTTCATTCTGTACCCATAATGCATTGCTGTAGTTGTACAGTAAAGAGTTTAAAATCTACTGATGTTCTGCGTGTTTTCAGACTGAAGTCCTTCTCTGGTCAATTAGGCAAAATCAACAACGGTGATTTATTGATTCAACAATAAATGGATGTGGCTAGAGAAGCTGAGCCCAAAGAATCACTGGTAATTCATTGGGTTATTATTACACAAACTCCTATATCTCTGAAAAGTTACTAAGTTAGTTTTATCCTATTTCAAGTGTACTAAGATATTTACACAAGAAACTAGACCTAAATTACTTTGTTTTTGCAGTGTATGAATAAAAGGAGCTTTTTTAGGAATTTGTCTGAATGGAAACAAATTTAAACAAATGTTAATAATTACACAGTAAATATGCTGATTTGTGGATGATATCATGATCTATAGATTTTTAAGCAACTCTGACATCAAGGACTGGACCCTTAATAATTCAGTTACATGGAATCAGTTGAATCTAAAATGACAAACTGGATTGATGACCAGAAACCATTTAAATATTTAAAAAAATATTTAAATGAAAAACAATACCACTGCAGACTGAGACAGAACAAACACCACACAAGACATTTTGGTTTTTATTTGAAAAATTTTGACACAGAAACACAACCACAGGGAGAAGGTGATGGATGTCAGGTGAGGATGAACTCAGTTGCAGTCCAGTTCTTCCAGTTAGCACTGGGCAGGCTCTGTGTTGCTTTAAATGATTTCCAATTAAAGCAAATAATAGTTAAAACAGGATTAATTATGTTATGCTTCATTAACTCTGTGTAAATAAATGAAAATGTCCTGCGTCACATGAAGGTTGACTGAAGAAACGGGACTGAAACTGGGCCAGAGCGTGCATCAGAATGCATAACAACAGGACAGAGCCGTAGGTCCGGTTGGGACAGGGCAGGGTCAGAGGTCACACCACAAGAATCAGCATGCAACAGAAAGGTGCGGGGTCAGCATGGGTCACAGCGTGGGCAAATTGCAACAGAAAGGGGCGGAGTCAATATGTAAAGAATGATGCGTCATGACAGAATCTGTCCAGGAAGAACGATCCGCAATGACATCACGGCGTTAGCACAGGCGCTAAAGGAAATACTTCCAGATGGATAGGGTTCCCTTGGCAAACACATTCCTAAACTTACAGGTGATTTCTGGTTAAAAAAAACCCCAGATAAAATCACCGTTGAATGCACTTTGGTCAGTTTAAAAACAATGCTGAAAGTAATTATTTTAATAAATAGATTCACTCCAGGAACAAATTTTTTTTAGTTCATGTGCAAATGAGTTGATGGTTCAGATCGAGCTTCTGGGACAGATTGTGCAGTAACAACATCTGGTCAGTATGTATTAAAATGGAGCGTGCTCCAAAAATTGGGCATGACCTGTAGATGTCATGTGTCAGAGTTAGAGTCCATCAATATGTATAAAAATTGGGGGCAAGTCTGTACTTCAAACCGGACTGAAACTGGGTCAGAGCGTGCATCAGAATACATAACAACAGAGTGGAACAGTAGGTCTGGTTGGGACAGGGCAGGGTCAGAGGTCACAAGAATCAGCATGCAAAAGAAAGGTACGGGGTCAGCATGGGTCACAGTGTGGGCAATTTGCAGCAGGAAGGGGTGGAGTCAATATCCAAAGAACATTTATGTACATAAATTTGATGTGACCGGTATTTATTACAATAGCGTGGAGTCAGTGTGTCTAGGAATGGGCATGGTCAGCATGTATATAAAATGGGGTAGGGTCGGTATTGGAACGGGGCGGAGTCCATATCGGAACAGGGTGGAGTCAGTATCGGAACGGGGCGGAGTCCATATCGGAACAGGGTGGAGTCAGTATCGAAACGGGGCGGAGTCCATATCGAAACAGGGCGGAGTCAGTATCGAAACGGGGCGGAGTCAGTATCGAAACGGGGCGGAGTCAGTATCGGAACAGGGCGGAGTCAGTATTGGAACAGGAAAGAGTCAGTATCGAAACAGTGCGGAATCAGTATCGGAACGGGCGGAATCAGTATCAGAACGGGCGGAGTCAGTATC